AGAGAGAGAGAGAGAGAGAGAGAGAGAGAGAGAGAGAGAGAGAGAGAGAAGGCAGGAGAGCGTGAGGGCAAGAGCGCGAGGGGCCGAAGGGTGTGGACAGGGGTAAGAGATGACCTGACAATCTGACTGAGATCCGATCTCACACCAGCTGCGAAGAGTTCCAAATATAGAAGAACCTCGCCGGGGTAATCATACACAGAGGCAGTGCAAGGTGGGAGATGGTCAAGGGAGAAGAAAAACAAGAGCGAATGTATCGAAGCTCCAAATAATAACAGCCTCTCCTCCAACTAATTACCGTATTCACAGCGGGGGGGGGGGGGAAGAAAAAAGAAACTAATTACCGTATTCACAGGTAGAATTCAGTCATCTCTTGTCACAATTATACCCGATAACTTAGATCACTTTGTCACAAGTTCATCTCGCATTATTAATTTATTATTGATTTGCAACTGTAATCTGTTAGCCTGTTTGTATTTTGTTATTTGGTTAGAGTGATGGCGGAAACCCTAGGAATTCCCCAATGGATTTGACAAATCGGTCGGGATCCCCGGCTGGGTACTCGACAAGAGACGACAAATCAACGGTCCTCATTACATCCGCCAGGTTGCTACAAGAAGCGTAAAAGAGGTGTTTTCTCGAGGCCAGCTCAGACGCCAGCTCCTTCTGATGATTATCCATGAGGTCTTCATTCACGACGACCACGAGAGGGCGCATGTACTTGAGTGCCTCAAAGATGCTTCCTGAGCCGGCATGGCTTATGACTAATGCCGCCGATTGCATGTCGGCAGCCAAGGACGGGCGGAATCGAAAGCCTCGCACAGAGAAAGTAGATGCCTCCCCAGACAAAGAGGACGTGGAAGAGGAAGCGAATCGACTGTTGTTGTCTTCTGATTGTTTCCTCGTCTTCTTGGAATTTCTCTCTGTGTTGCTCTCCTCCTCCTCCTCCTCCTCCTCCTCCTCCTCCTTGCACGAGTACGAAATGGACTCCCCTTCCTTTTCCGAAGAAGAATCATCTCCGCAGCCACAGGATGGAATATACCGTCCTCTGCCGATTTGCATGGTCAGCGAGTTGTAACCTCTACTCCTTAAGATGTCTCGAAACTCCTCCGTGTCAACGGCTTTAACGAGTGCGTCGAATGACGTTGTCCCAACTGTCACAAACACGTTCCCCCCATTACCACATGCTTTGGATGGCAGTTGGAATTCCGATGGGGATAGCGAGGGACTCTCGCCCAGTGGAGTAGTAGTAGCAACTCTCCCCATGGTCGCTTCCTTTTTTTTGGGGGGGTTACGCTACGATAACTGTCGGCGATCGTATTTCTCGACAATGTGAATGGGTCACTAGATAGCTCTTCAAGATCAATCGCTCGCTCCACAATAGCGACACACTTCTCTTCCAAGCAGCCTCTGCTCATATGGAACAACTGCCTCTTCCCTGACGCATTAAACCCATGAAACACCTGTACAGAGGCCACAGAATATTGAGCTCCGTAAGTCTGCGAACATGCACGCCCTCCTTCAGCATGTCTGAGAAACACCTATTCTCAGAATGCTATACTCACACTAAGAACCTGTGTACTCTGAATACCGAGCAACAAGCATGTTCTCCGTAAACCACCACTTCAGCCGAGCCTCTTCTTGCTGAGGCAGCTTCACGCTGCGTGCCAAAAAAAGCAAACCGCAACGGATGCGTTTTCTTTTTGTTTGCCTGGCGGCAGTCATCCATTTTGGTCCGGTCGAACCAAACCCATAACTTTACATTTCGGTTCTTTCTAGTTTTGCCTCCGCAAGGTACTCGTGGCTTCACCCTGCGTGCCAAAAGAAGCGAACTGCAACGGATGCGTTTTTCTTTTTTGTTTGCCTGGCGGCGGTCATCCATTTTGGTCCGGTCGAACCTTTTATCCGAAGAACACCTTTTATCCGAAGAACCCAGAAATTTGCATTTCGGTTCTTTCTAGTTTTGCCTCGGCAAGGTACTCGTGGTTTATACATGCCTGCCAAAAAACTATTTTCACAGATTCACATTATACCATACTCAGCGACGCTGAGAGCCTGTACTTTGTATTTTAGTCGCCTGCTCTCGGCGGAGTTCGAACTCAGGTCTTCATTTCAACAATTCAGCGGTGTATCAACCGAGCTAGGCCAGTTGGTACTCTAGAGATCTTGAACATGATTGAGAAAACCTATACGCAGCGGGTCTGACTACCGGCAGCCTTCGAGTACAAGACGGAGAGAACAAGTGCAGAACAGAACGTGTGCAAGCTGATTCCTCGGTATCCTCCGTATGAATGACTGCAAGTGCACTGCAGCAGCAACAGCAGACCAGGGGTACAAGATGCCCCCACCCGGGTCTGAGTACGGGCAGCCTNGGGGTACAAGATGCCCCCACCCGGGTCTGAGTACGGGCAGCCTTCGAGTACAAGACGGAGAGAACATGTGCAGAACAGAACGTGTGCAAGCTGATGCCTCGGTATCCTCCGTATGAATGACTGCAGAACAGAACGTGTGAGAGCTGATGCCTCGGTATCCTCCGTATGAATGACTGCAAGTGCAGCAGCAACAGCAGACCAGGGGTACAAGATTCCCCCACCCTCCCCACCCCTAAACCTCCTTCCTGAACTGTTTTGTGTCCCGGTGTGTGTGCTGCTATCCGTCACACGAGGACGTGGCAGACACACTCCATCCACTCCCGCCCTCCAAAATGTCCTTTGCAATCTGCAAAGCAATTCGCAAACCTGAAGATGGGTCTCGCTCCACTACGCTCCAATTGTGCAAAACGAGAACGGATCTTCGGTGAGAGAATGGAAAAATACCCCGCCATATTTTTTGTCTTTCGTGCATGTGGTGACAGTACTCTCCAATTGTGCAAAATGAGAATGGATCTTCTGCGGGAGAATGGAGAGATACCACCGCCATAATTTTTGTCTTTTGTGCATGTGGTAAGTAGCGGAGCGAGGCCCGATGACTCGTCCAGCAGGTATCATTAACTTCGACTTTACTAAAAAAATAAGGGGGAGGGAGGGGGGGGGGAGGGAACAGAGAACGGCAATAACAACAAAGAATAACAAACAAGAACAAAACAGAAGGCACCGGAAAGCGGAAAATTCACAGCGTGCCACTCAGAGCTACACATTCTCACTCACATAGAGGAGCCTGCCCGTTACGATAGCACGTCCTTCGAAAGAATCTGCCCACAGATAGACGGTATTCGACGTCACATGAAAGTCCTACGTCTTCCCCCGAAGAGGACGGACGGTCATTATAGCTGTATTTGGGATCACTTTCAGTCTAGATGCAGTGATAATGACCGGGTGTTCTATTTGGACAAAGACCATACATGCCACTCAGAGGAAGACGGTAGGTAAGTATCCCTAAGGAGTTTGGTTCACGTCTATAGGATTTGGTCTAAAGACTTAGGTTCACATCTATAGGTATACATAAGGACTTAGGTTCACGTCTAAGGACTTAGGTTCATGTCTAAGGACTTAGGATACGTCTATAGGCAAGTTTGGTGGATCGGGCGGACCCACACAACCCCTTCCCCCCCCCCCCCTCCCCCCCCCCACCCCCTACAACCTCCCTACAGGAATTTTAAAGAGGCTGTGTGGGTCCATTCAACCTACTAGGACTCATATTTAGCTGTGTTGTAAAAGGAGGTGGGAGCGATTGTGTGGGTCCATTCGGTCTATCTGGCCTACCGTAGCAAGGCGAATATGCTGGATGGCTGCACCAGGTAGGCCTGACCCCGGCCCCGCAAAAGCTACGTAAGTATAGTTGCAAGGAGGTTGCAAGGGGGGGTTGTGTAGGAGGAGTTGTGTAAGGGGGGTTTAAAGAAGGGTAGTGCAAGGGGGGTATAAAGAGGGGTAGTGCAATTCCTTAGGATACCTACCAGGACTTACATTGATGAGATAGTTTGGTGGGCACCGATACGCAATCAGTGGGCCCATTCGGTCTATCTGGCATACCCTAGCAAGGCGAACATGCTGGATGGCTGCACCAGGTAGGCCCGGCCCCGTCCCCGCAAAAGCGAGGTAGGTATAGTTGCAGGGGGTTGTGTAGGAGGGGTTTCAAGAGGGGTTGCGTAAGGGTTTTTTAAAGAGGGGTAGTGCAAGGGGTTTTTAAAGAGGGGTAGTGCAAGGGGGGGTTAAAGAGGGGTAGTGCAATTCCTTAGGATACCTGCCAGGACTTACATTTATCAGATAGTTTGGTGGGCACCGATATGCAATCAGTGCGATTGGTACAGATAAGCCATGAGCTTCGGGAAGCATCTTCGAGGCACTGTCCAGTTCAGGCCCCCACTCATTGTCATTGTGAATGCCTACCTCATGGATAATCATCAGGAGGAGGTGGTCTCTGAGCTGGCATCAAGAAAAAGCACCTCTTTTATGTCCCTTGCAGCACCCTGATGGATGTTACGAGAGCCATTGATTTTATTTCTTTCTTTCTTTTATATTTTATGGTGAGCATTTTTTTTAAAAAGGGATTTAACAATTTCGAGGCCTGAGAGAGTTGGGGGAGCGATTCAACGAGTTCATCCTGCCAAAACACCCCATCTCATTTAAACCACGACTCCAAAGAGCCCTGCGCAGTGCATTTTTCTTGGCTACAAGCACTGGGCCAAAATCTACAATGGCCAGGCCCAGTCGAGGTTCCGCGGGGAAGGGTACCACAGTTAATTTTTCCTCACGGCGGCACTGTAGATTGTAGGCTTTTGGGAAAATGCAACTTTCGGGTTTGTCAAAATAGGTCCGGATGGAGTGGCGGTTTAAACCCCTACCGTCTTCCCCTGAGCATAACGCACCCTCATTTTGCCTGTACCGGACAGAAAAGATGGCTTGTATACATTTATTATCAGGGTGCGTTATGTTCGCGGGAAGACTGTCGTACACGGCTCCAGCCTTGCTGAACAGAAATTTGTCACCTACGAGATGCCATCCGAAAAAGACGGCACAGGAGGCGCGCTATCGATTAAAATAAATCGGTGGCCTACGTGACTACGTCGCTTTTTTATTTCTAACAGATGTCTGCAGCCTGTAGCTGGATGTACTTGTGCTTTAACACCCAATCAATTCCGCACTGGACGCATACACTACCATTTGAACAGGTCAAAATAGCAAATTACTAAATTAGGCAACAATCCACTTTAGCCCTGTTTGTCCCCGCGCTTCTCCAATCCATCCTTCGCCTACCTCTTCCGTGCAGGCTCTCTAATCCATCCTTCGCATCTTTCACCTACCTCTTTCGTGCAAACTCTCTAATCCATCCTTCGCACATATCAGCACCGATCACCAAAAGATCCCCCTGATTGAATCCATCAACCAATCAATCAAGGTAAAGATCGGTGAAGCTGATCCTGCACCAATTCTTGAATGCAGCAGCATGGACCTTTGAGCATGTCCAAAGCCGAGTTAGCAGAAAGATAAAGATAGATTAATGCCTCTGAAACATCCTCAACCACTCTCTACACATCCTTGTCTCCCCTCACTTGCCAGTTTGGAATAAACATACTAATAACTAGTAATAAGATAGATTGATTCCTCCACAACATCCTCAAAAATCACTCTCCGCACCTCCTTGTCTCCCTCACTTGCCAATGAGAAGAAACGGAAAGATAGGTGATCCCTCTGAAGACATCCTTAGCCATTCTGTGCACATCCTTGTCTCCCTCACTTGCGTCGACCAGCGATCCGCATTTTGAACAAGCAGAGGGGAGCAGAAGTGCATGCACAAGCCACGTAGATGCACAAAGCCCTCACTTATGCATGCACTGCTGGACAGCTAGATGCTTTGTGCATCTACGTGGCTCATGCATGCACTGCTGGCGTGCGTGTTTGCATGCAGCAGTAGCGCATGCACAAGCCACGTAGATGCACAAAGCATGTAGCAGTCCTGTGCAAGGGTACAACTCTTTCCCGTTGGTCCCAACCCCTTTTATCTATATCCAATTCGTTTTTTTTTGTCCAACTCTTTTGCTCACGTTGACAAGTCTCCACCACGTTTTTTTTGGTTTAACTATTTTGCTCACTAACTATTTTGCTCACTTAGCTAAGTCCACCTAGACGAGAGGGCTACGTCCACCTAGACGAGAGGGCGATATCAGCTCTCTAACTCGTTCGCACTATGAGCCGTTGTAAAAGCATTCTAGAAGAGAGGGAGGGCAATATCAGTTCTATAACTCGTTTGCTCACTTGTGGAGAATAGTTTGTCACCTACCGCAAATAAATGGAAGTCGGAGGGGCATACCGCAAATAAATGGAAGTCGGAGCGGCATACCGCAAATAAATGGAAGACGGAGGGGCATTTCGAAATTTTTCACCTTTTTTTTTTTTTTGGACAAGCCACGAGA